AGATAGATAGGCAGATAGACAGATAGATAGATAGATAGATAGATAGATAGACAGACAGACAGACATATAGATAGACAGACAGACAGCTAGATAGATAGACAGATAGACAGATATATAGATAGACAGACAGACAGACAGACAGACACAGACAGATATACAGACAGACAGACAGACAGATAGACAGATATATAGATAGACAGACAGGCAGACAGACAGACAGATATATAGATAGATAGACAGATATATAGAGATAGACAGACAGACAGACAGATAGACAGATATATAGATAGACAGACAGACAGGCAGACAGACAGACAGATATATAGATAGATAGATAGAGACATACAGACAGACAGACAGACAGATATAGATAGAGACAGACAACAAAAAGAAAACAATCAGACAGACGATTGATAGATAGACAGACAGACAGTCAGACAGACAGACAGACTGAGAGATAGAGAGATAGACAGACAGACAGACAGACAGACAGACAGATAGATAGACAGATAGATAGATCAAAGTTTCTGCCATGACACATTTCTAATTTTCTTTTAAAGTTTTTGATGTTATATTTTTATTCCAGTTAACCAAAAATTTAATAGCTTTATTTTCAGTTTGTTTTAAGGTTTTCACAATAACAATATACCTTAGGTGCATATAACTTTGACTTCGAATATTTACAGATGATTTTAGTAATATATTGTTTTTTCTGATGAATTTTACAACCATTCTTTCAACGTTTACTGAACCTGAGGGTCTTCTTAGTGTTGCGTTTTGGATTTTAAGATTGAACTATAAAGTAGTACACAATGCAGTAATGTTAATATAGTGTGTATTTATATATTATGGAGTTCTATAGAAGTCCATCAGCGTATATGCAAATAAAAGAGCTGAATAAATAAGTCAAACTTGCCACAAAGGAGAAAATGTTTATTTTCATGTTGATTCAAACACTCGTAGCCAGTGCAGTTCTCTTTGTGGGGATGTACAAAACAATGCCAGATTTAACACACCTTCTTTTCAGCATATTGCTTATGTAACTGAATTTAGTTAACACTCATTTCACCATAACCAGTTTAGAGTTCAAATTATCAAGTAGTTTTCACAATCCGCTCATAAACCTGAAAACATGAAAGCATCTTCACACAACCAAAAAAAAAAAAGCAAAAGATGCGACAATCACAAATCCTTTTTTGTGATTACAAGACAAAGCTAAGCCATCATTACATGTAAAAACCGAGGATTCTCTTTCTGCAGCCAAGTATAATTATGAGATTCAGCAAGCATAGCATGTTAAGAATGCAAAACAATTACACCCAAAATTAAACAACAAAATCATGACTACACCATTCAAATGTTTCCCAGAGAAGCTCCAAAAGAAAAAAAGGAAGTGCATAAATATAAGCCTACAATGTAGAACAATGATAAATAGTGGGATAAAGTGCAGGAGTGCTCATCCATCCAACCCATCTCTCTCTCCATCCATCCAGCTAGCGGGAAAATTAACATGAAAAACTACAATTGCGCAAAACAAAAAGATTCAAAAGCCATGTGCTTAAGAAAGAGATAAAACAGGCCGAATTAAATATTAATAACAACAGACATGCATGTGAATGGCAGTTCCATCCTTGATACTATATGATTTTAATACCCAGCAATGAAATCAACACTTACATCCATCTCTCACGTCTCAGCTCAAGAGGGCACAAACAGTGTTGTCAGTGAGTCACAGACAGTGTAAGGGATCGGAGTGCATGTGCTCTGTCTATAAGGCAGGCAGTCAGTGATTCAAGTCAAACTGTCTGCTAGTGAAGTTCGGATCAGTCTCCCATCACACTGACCTTACTCAATCTTAACTGTGTGTGTTCATCTGTGCAAACTGGGCCAGCACGACCAAAACAATACAATACTAGCATGCAGCAAATCATACAATTTCCGGGTTGATTTTAAAAAAATGGAGTAAAACAAACATACAAACAATACTGTAATGTGTCATCAATATACAAACCACTCGAAATCCTCTCACGTATTCATGTGCTTGGCGACATTTCACATTATTTGTCTGTTTGTTTGTTTTCTAAGGAAATTCTTCTGGTCGCGATAGACCGATTCAGCGCTTTTTTGCTCAAGGCATTTGCGCACCAACCGATGAATAATAGTATGAATTTCTGAAGAGGTAGAGGACCTGTCCGTGCCTGTAATAACCAGACGGGACAGGCGAGCAGAGCGATGAGTTCAGTTCCATGAGCTGTCTGGATGCCATTAAGGTGTTTTAATAATTATAAAAAGCAGCAAATGAATGGGTAAAGCGTCAAAAGCTCAGAAACGGTTGGCTTTGTGCAATGGCGAGAGTCTCTTTCACACGTACAGAATGACATTGTCGGGACAGTGCAGGCTGTCAGTGGGGTTCAAGGCTCTGCAGGTGGTCTGCGGCGGGGGTGCGGAGTGGTAGCTCTTGGGGCGGGGCGAGTCGCAGTCGTCAGACGTCAGCTCTGCGATGTCGTCCGACTGCGTGTCGGACATCTCTAGGTCGCTGCGGATGCTTTCCGGCTGAGCGAGGGTGATGTCTCGGAGACCCTCCCTGAGTGACATCCCTGGCGACAGGCCCAGAGGGGAATCCATGATAATCCCGCTCCTGTGGGAGCTGCAGTCCTGAGGCCCCTCCCCCGAGCCGGGAGCCATGGCGGCAGCGGGCGGAGCCAGATCCTCTTCAGTGGTTAGACACAGATGGCTCGGTTTCGTTTCAATGTCCACCTGGATCTCAAGGTTAGTGCCCTCTCTGAAACACAACAGATCATAGAAAAGATGAGACAAAGCATCACTTCCAGGAGTTTTTAATCAAGGTTGCGATACTTTTATATTTTGTTGTATGGATGCACCAATATTCCAATTCTGGCCCATCCACATAAGCTAATAATTATTTTCATGTTAAGGCCAAAACGAGTAATGGGCTACTGGTAACACTTATTTTACAATGTCCTTGTTATACATTACATGTACTTACTATAGTAAGAACCATAAATGATGCATAATTACAACAACTAACCCTAAACCAAACCCTAATCCTACCTGTAACCCTTTAACACTGATATTACTCAGTACTTCAATATATAATTACACTGTAACAATGACACCTTCAAATAAAGGGTTACACTTTATTTTAAGGTGTCATTGTTACAGTGTAATTATACATTTAAATACTGAGTAATAATAATGATGGAATAATGATGCTGACAATTCAGCTTTGCCATCAAAATAATTTTACATTTTAAAATATATTCAAATAAAGAGAAAATAGTTATTTAGAACTGTTATAATATTTCACAATATTACTGTTTTACTCAAATTAAATGCAGCCCTGGTGAGCATAAGAAACATTTTTCAGAAACATTATACAATCTTGCTAATTCCTTTTGAACGGTATTGTGCATTTATTCGTTAAGCAGTTGCTTTTATTGTAAGTGATTCACACACCGGTCAGGTAAGGTGTAAGAGGAAGTGATTGATCCTGCCATGCCCCTAGTGCTGGCACAGTCACTGGCCGCTCCCAAGCTGCCCGTCTCCCTTCCAGCACCTTCCTTTCCCAGCTCTGTCGCCTGCACCTCCAGCCTGAAACATAAACATGTTTCCATGAAAACAAGAACATTACCCATATTTACAGTGTAGCTCTTGTGTATTTACCATACAGTAGAGGGAATGCCCTTCTGCTGACATCCCACATGCCCTCATACCTGCTGTATTTTCCTGTCCTTGCACCAAGTGCTCCTCCTGCGAGTGTGTTGAAGTGGGGCGTGTCACCCAGACCCCCTGGGGCGACGGACAGTCCCTCGCTGGGAGAGGTGGTGCTGAGGCCGCTGGCTCCTCCCTCCAAACTGCTCTCGCCCAAGCTGGGAGACTTCAGCGCTCGCCATGCATCAGCAACTACATTGATGGTTTAATACAATAATCAGCACTGCCAAGTTTTTATTTTCTGATGATACACTTGATCAATCTTTATTTTATTTTATTTTTTACCTGTAATGGGCCCGTCATCCTCATCAAAGTCTATCCTAACACCTCGTCCTTTCCCCCGGCTCACGCCGCAGCCCCCGCCGCGGCACAGAGAGATAGGCACAACACCATACACATACGCCAACATGATGGGGACGCCAATGCCTGTAGGGGAGAGATATGGAGGATAGTTGATGAGTAAATATGCTTAATTGGACTCTATAAGAAACATTTCTTATTATTGTCAATGTTGGTAACAGTTGCACTTCTTAATATTTTTGTGGAAACCGTGATACACTACCACAAAATTTGAAGTAAGAAATATTTCTATTCCAAATAAATGCTGTTCTTTTGAACTTACTTCCATTTTTTTTAAACACTGATAATGTCAATCATTATTAATATTTGATCACTATTAATGATTGATAATAATTGAACAGCAAATCAGCATACGGATTTCTGAAGGATCATGTGACACTGAAGACTGGAGTAATGACTGTTGAAAATTCAGCTTTCACAAGAATAGTAAAAAAAAATTTAAAAACTTATACATTTTAATTTTTCACAATCCTGATTGCAGCTGATAAAGGTTTCCGTATTAACCTAAACTGTAACGCTGTAGAGAAAGGTGTGATGTTGGCACTCCGCACCTTGCGTCCAATGTAAACAGGAAGGCCGATAACCATAGCAGGAACTGCGATGCCAGCGATTAGAGTGATGCCCACCGGTGCACCAATCAAAGTGCCCAGCTGCCACAGAATCTTCTTCTTGCGACTCCATGGCTTCTTTCCCCAGAACGTACAACCTGATGGACTGAGAAGACACAGAATATTATTATTTTTCGATTCGAGCAAGTAGTTTGAGATATTCCCACTGATGGATAGCAGAAGGTAATCAAAGTGCCCAGCTGCCACAGAATCTTCTTCTTGCGACTCCATGGCTTCTTTCCCCAGAACGTACAACCTGATGGACTGAGAAGACACAGAATATTATTATTTTTCGATTCGAGCAAGTAGTTTGAGATATTCCCACTGATGGGTAGCAGAAGGTACCTGAGGTAGTGCAGGTCTGAAATCTCCTTCATACAGAGCCAGCAGAACTCCGAGCCACAGACAGCACAGGTCATGTGATTACAGCTGCCATCGTTCATCTTGATGATGTAGGCACCGCATCGGGGGCAAGGCTTGATGTCATCAGCTGAGTGGGGATTAGAGGGTTGGGATTTAGAATTGCTGTAAACAATGTGTGCTGAGGAAGCGCTTTCTGGATGCCAGACAGGGAATAAGAGACGTTAGCAGACTCCTGCTGGAATTCAGGAGAGAAGCTAGAGAGAACTTGAGGAGGAGGAGGAGGAGAGAGCACAGTCGTTTAGGGAAAGAGAACCTTCAATAATCTGCAGTGAACACTGAAGTGCACAAAATGAAAGCGCTCAAGGGGGAAGCACACAGCAAATCAAATGATATGAGTGGCACTCTGAAACACAATAAACCAGACAGAAAGCACACTAGAGTTTTGAGTTTATTTTTATCCACTAATTCCGACGTGATAAACACTTTGCGATACGTACTTAACAGAGTAAACAGTGAAGGACTAATATACTACTGCCCGCAGCAAAACATAAACTAGAATTGTACATTTTCTGAATAAAAATGTGAATGCCGCTTGTATGTGCAAAACGTGATCCAGTCATTTGTTTTGTTGCTATGTGCTTGTGTGATCAGGGTGGTTTCTAGTGGGATCTAAGAGGTTTCTAGGGCATTGCTATGTTTTTGCTAAAGTGATTTGGGTGGTTTCTAGTTTACGTGTCAAAATGCCCATCTTTGCAAGTATACTCGTAAACACAGTAGATTGTAAGTGAAAGCAAACAGCTGAGAAACAAAACACATGTGTAACAGTATATTGGATCTGGGAAGCTCTTAAAGTGACAGCAGTCTAATATGCCTGCTGTCTGTCATTCCTGTTAATCAAACAACAAAAGAGAGAAAATCTCTCACTGCTCTCGACTAAATTAAGTCTGTAACTTTAATAAGAAGTAATATATATTTACTTTACAAAATGAAAAATATGCAGTGTTTTTATACATTTGATTACTTTATACAATGCATGTAGCCTTTTTTATTTATTTGTTCTACTGTAGTTTTTTTTGTAGTTCTACTGCTTGTAATTAAATTCTTATTCTTATTTAATCGCTGACAGTTTACTTGTCTTCAGTAAGCTTGAGTTTTTTTATTTTTTTTATTTAGGCTAGTATTCTGTGATATTGACACTGGTGACAAGAATTATGAAATTTCTATAGTATCAAAAATTTTTATATCAAAAAGACAATGAAATAATAATGAAATAAATCATTACCGTGAAATAAAATGACTCATATCGTGATATAAGATTTTGGTCATATCACCCACCCTAGTTTCTCAGGGGCGTTGCTATGTGTACCTGCTTGCCCAGGTACAAAGAGCCTAACCCCAAATTATATTACAGTCTCTCTCTGTTTATGGGACAGAAAAGAGTGGTTGGCTGCTGGTTAAACACTCACTGTTGCCCTGCTCGGCTGTGTAGCTGGGTGAATGGTTACTGTGCGTTCTCAAGGACAGCGCCCTCTGCTGGCGGGCCGAGTCACAGGTCTGGTTAGGATGCCAAACTTGCTTGCAGTGGTAACAGAACTCAGCACCACACCCTTCTCTTCGACACACCAGTCTGGGGCAGCTGGCACACCCAGAGGCAATGACTGCGAACCTGGCAGGAGAACAATGCAAACCAGGTCATCAGACTCTCCTAGAAAATCTATAATTAAGGTAATATGAGATATCATTATACCTAGTTGTGTGCAATCTACTCTTACAGAAGTACATGGTACAGGGATGGTATCAGACGGTAATAGTATCGTACTCTGATATATGCCATGACACTATATGATTACCATATTCACAAACAATGGTATGTCTACAGTGCTAAAAACAGAAGAAGAAAAAAATGTCCTAAAAATTGATTATTGTAAAATCATATTTTCTGTAAATGTGGCTGAGCAATATGTGGACCATGTAAATATCTCAGACATTTTAGACTTGTTTTAAAAATTACACCATCTATAAGGACATACTGATGATTATGCCCACAGATAACGTTTATAAAGGCCTTGTCCACACTAATACGTTTTCATTTGAAAACGCATTTTTTTCTCTCTCCGTTTTGGCGTCCCGTTGGCGTTTTTGTCAAGGAAAGCTGAGCTTTTTGAAAACGCTCTCCAAAGTGGATAAATTTGAAAATGCTGTTTTTGCGTTATAGTGTGAACTGTGAAAACGGAGGCTTTTGAAAACGACTGACGCATTTTTAATCATGTGATGCATATTGCACCAATAGATATCTATGTTTATACCGGTGTTGTGCCGAATTCTGACCCCGCCAGATTATTACCCCCCTAGTATTGGTAGGTTTATGGTTAGGTGTGGGGGAGGGACAGGATTAGGGCTGGGGTTAGGATTAGGCAATCAGATAGCAATTTCAACGAGTGGGGTAATAATTTGGCAGGGGGTTGACAATGGGCACAACACTGGTATTGTGCCTGTTATGTGCTGTTCACTTTCACACTGTTGCTAAAGATGTGTTACTTTGTACACTCTTCATATTACAGTCCTGCAAAGATGACAAAAAATTTACTCAGAATTGCTGTCCTGTGGCAAAACATGAGGGCAGTTGCATTTTAGATCAAACATATAATGTCGCAACCTGGACGCGCGTCAGTGAATGAGATATTTTCGTAAATAAAATCCTGCGAGAAGAATTGCATGGAAACTTATGTTCCAACTGTACCATCTTTTATGAAGGTTTCACACGTTTAGTAAGGCGGATTTAACGTTTTCCGACGTTTCAGTGTGAATGAGAAACTTTTGGAAAACGCTTGAAAAAGGCTAATGTGGACTGAGAGCACTTTGAAACAAAAACACCATTTTCAAATGTATCCGGATTAAGGCTGAAATTAAATGGCCCCCAAAGTAATCACATACACCATAATATCAGTGTGTTCCCTACTCAGATTCTTTGTAATGTCAAATTCCTTTTAAAGTCAAGGAAAACATTAGCAGGTACAGACACTACTACATTATGGAAAATGGGAAGAAAGATTTATTCCAGTCAGTAGGTTCCTGCCGTGAGAGTTTCCTAGTATTCCAGTAGCATTTTATTACTTTCCTATGAAAATTTCTTGGCTGCCAAACTCTAATTCAGACCTCAGAACAGTAAGCACAATGATTATTAACAAACATATTTTTAAGTCTAAAAAAAAAAAACACCTTAACATTGAATCATTTTAATGATTTTATGGCTGAATAAACACATTGGCAGTAGATCAACTGGGTAGGTGGGTTTTTCCCAGCGAAAGAAAAAGCAGATTTCTCCCTCCGAATAAAAATAAAACCTACCAAACTTCCCTGTCTAACATTAGCTTGTGCGTGACAAAAACAATCCCTTTAATTTTAAGCGCATGTTTTGACCTGTTGGCCGAAGTTAAAGCAGGTTCTGAAGAAAACATTCCTCCTCCAGCCGCCACCTCATTAATCAGCTCAGTTGCAATGGAGAAGTGTAATGTCCTATACAAAGAGCTTCCCATTACCTGCACGTACTGGCGCACACACCCTACATGTAGAGTCAAGCCGAAACCCACCTCATTACACATGATTATGGTATCCCAGAACACTCAGAGCTCACTAGGATTAAAAACAATGAAATCAACACTCTAATTTGAAGCCCACAAAGACACCGTGGCATGCACACACGGTCAAGTGAGTAGTCAATGATTGTCTTAATCAAATACCAGCCTCAGTTACCCATAGCAACTCTACCTCCGTGCCGCATCTCAGTTGCCACAGCAACTTATCACTGAGGGAGAGAGAAACAAGCTGTTCCCGTCTCCCATGGCAGCTCTGGACTTTCAATCAAGCTGAAGCAAAGCTGGTTGGGGGGCTGATGGGTAATAAGCAGCACCATGGACTGGAACTGATACGCAAAATATACAGGGGAAGCTTTTCCGTCAGGGTTTGTTTCTGTGGTTCTGAGATCAAAAGTGTGTTTTTATCGTCTAAGGTGGGAGATTCCTAGTTAGTCTACAAATAGGCAAATGAACCATCTGGGTGAAACTCAATGTGTCCTACAGCAAAGAAAACGTCACACTTTCATTTAATAACCTCATATGATGCAACTAACTAACCAACTAGCCAATAGTGTGATCTCTAATGACCTTTTTTGAAAAATTCCCAGTCCATCTGAAAACCCCTTATCATCAGTCGTGGGCCTGATAGGAAGTGGCAGTGACTCAAACAAGAAGAGAAGCAAAAATCACAAAATCATGTCCCTTCAATTAGGTCACTGGCGCATCATTATGATTGACAAACCTTGGACAGGTTGTAAAAGGCCTCTGAAGTAAATCACACTTTCTCAGAATGACACATCAACTAAACTAGGCTTCCCACACAAATGCAAGTTTTCCTTATAACTGTCCAAATGCCTCCTACACTTGTCAAAGCACACAGAACAAACAGAAACTGTTCAATACGTCCACTTACTTCTATTGAATCTGACAAAGATCTGAAATACATGCATTTAATACACTATTTGGTTTGTGGATGCCCAAATACCACGCCCTTGTTGAGATTTTAGTTTCGAAACCATTGGCTTTAATAAAGAGCTGGTTATTCTTAACAGCTTCTAGTCTCTTGGGAAGGTTTTCAGATAGATGTTGGAACATAGCTGGATTTGCTCCCATTCAGACACGAGAGCATGTTGGGCAAGAAACTAGAAATCTCTCAACGAACGCTTGGGCAATTTTAGGATGCCTACACAGTAGAGAGTGTTTGACGGATATGAATGCGTAAGCTCTGTGTTGAGGGTGTGGGAAGAGCTGTGTTAGGCTGAAACCAAGAGAGAATACAGCAAATTGGTTTTCCTAAAGCTGGAGCCGACTCTGAAATTCTCATTGGCCGATGGACGCTTACGTCTGGGGTGATTCTAGGATTTCTAGGTCTTAAGGAGGGCACAGTCCAGTCTCAAAACATGAGCTGATGTGGCTCAGTGGTGTGTCTCTTGCTTTCAGTGCCAGAGAGCACAAATTTGAAGAACTAAAATTCAAGTTTTCACTTAGACAAAAACTGAAACCGAAATTAAAATAAGGTTTCGGTAATTAAATTGCATAATTGAGTAACTGACCTCAGGATGCTGTTTACGGTGTCGACGGTGTTCTCAGGGGATACATTATTTTTTGTAACAGTGCAGTGTGTCCACACTGCTTACACTGCTGTACCTCATTTAGGAGTTTCTGTCAATGATTTTGGCCCTCCAAAACTTTTTTGGCCATTTTTTTTCACAGTTTTGGCCTAATATTTTGGGTTGGTGAATTTTTGATGCATCACTATTTAAAATACCATCTGATTATCAGTAGATGCTTATCAATTTCAGTAGCAGATTAGGTTGCATTTCATTTTGTGATTCACTGAAACCAAAACATTGAAATGAAAGAAATGGAGTGTGACAGCTGTAGGCAGGGCAGCACTTCATGCCAAATTTTGCCGCCCTATTTCACCTATGACCATGTCCTCCACTGACTACAACACAGGATAACACCTAAATGTTAAAAGTAAAGGGAAGATTCATAGTGAGGTCACCTCAGATATCAGGAAGAGAATAGGTCAGCAGTCATATCTGATATTATGTGGCAGAGAACATATTAGGAAATGAGACTTGTGACATGAGGGAATGTTATTTCCAGACTTCTTTCTGCAATGCAATGTCATAAACAGACATTTTGAATATGATCAAGGTCCTTTAATTGCTCAAAAAATATCACTGGGGTTCAGATCTGGGCTTTAGGCTAGTCAAGTTCTTCCACATCATTTACTCAGTAAATCATTTGCATAATGACCTCATTATGTGCACAGGGGAGCTTAATACTGGAACAGAAGTTCCTTCCCAAACTGTTGCCACATCCCACAATTCCCTATAACGTCACTGGATGTTGTAGTGACACATTAGAATTAGAAGGTCCGCAACCTTTTGGCCATGAAGCTTGTATATACAGCAACATTTCTAATTGAAAACAAACAGGTAATTGTGTATATTTTATAAATCCCTAACATCCAAACCAGTCTTACCCACAGTCGGGAGCTGGACACCATCGGCAATCAGGGTCCGATGCCAGACAGCGGCGCAGCAGAAACTCTTCATACTTCTCCATCAGGCTGAGATCATCCAGGATGAGGGCCACCTGCCTTGGGGCAAGTCGTTCGGCGCACTCTGGACAGCTGAGCTGCACGCGGCTCTCGGTGATCTCGATACGCAAGTACTGCCGTAGACAGCACAGGCAAGACCGATGGCTGCATCCCTGGAGCTCGGGAAGCTGCTCCGCAGGTTGACGCACCAGGCACAGGGGACACTCTAAGAGTTCTTGACCTCCCAGAGAGGCCTGGCTAGTGGACAAGGGTTCAGCCGGGTCTGCCGTTGAGGGGTCTGATGAAACATTAGTGGGCGTGGGGGGCTGGAGAAGCTGCTGCTGCTGGAGCTGTTGGTGCAGCTGTTGCGCAAGAGGAGTTCCCACATTAGCCTTGTTCACCCTGGATCCGCGTTTGCCATGGAAGAGACTATGAAAAGAGATCCTGCCTTGCTTCTTGCCCGGCCCTCGGCATTTCGGATTGGGAATGCCGCTAACAGAGGAGTGGGGTGATTCAGAGTCCTTTTCGGATCCCATTTCCCAAGAACTATCGTGTAATGTTCTCCCACTTGAGTCCTTACGAGAGGTCAGCGAGTTTGGGTTAGAGGTGAGGTTTGTGTGAAGCTTCTCAGTTCCTTCCACGGAATGATTTCAACGAAGCTCCAAACCTCAAGGACACGGACACTCCCGATACACAAAAGAATGTTTGTCAAGGTCTCAACAAATTCCAGTTAGTTTACCGTTAGGAACATTCCATTTATGAAGTCATAACTACAACAAGGATTCGTGTTTAAACAATAAACGGAAAGATAACTAGACTAATTGAGCCAAAAGGGAAAAGGATGGGGGAAAAAAGTCCTTTCACTCCAACAATCTTCTCGTAAATAGAAAAAGAAAAGGAAACAAAGAAAATTGTTGCACCCCAAATGTGTTACGAACTACAAAACTGACAGATACTGTCAATTAAAAATAGGGCGTTTAAAGACAACTAGGAAGTTCAAGTTGTTAGTAAAAAATGAATCTGGCTCAAGATAACGTAATCCTTTCTGAGGGCTCGTCCTCTTTTGGCTCCGCTAAATTCTCTTGCTCGCAGAGCCGAGATGTGTGTGCTCCAGTTTGCTGTTCTCTCTCTTCTGAATCGGCTGGTCTGTTAAGGAAGAGAAATAACACAGGAAGTTAGCACAGCGCACAGACAGCCTGCAGGAGGAGCATGCTCACGTACACACACACTCCTCCCTTCTTTTATTCTCAATCTCTTTTCATTTCACAGTTAACGCTTCATTGCATCCGACTCACAAAGTGACTGCCAGACTTAAACCAATTACCAGCCGTTTAAAAACGAGAAGTAATTGATTCTGTAACTTTAACTTGTTAAAAATGGATCTCTCTTATCCCATTTTCTGTCCTTACATCTTGTGTTAGATTTTACTTCTCTCATTTTCTTTGACACCCTCTCATCCACACTCAAGCGCTCCCTCTCCCCTTCACACTGCGCTGCTAGTGCAGTTGCCATGGAGATTCCCACTGTGAACACAGCAAACAAGGACCCTCACAGTGACTCTGGCCCTTATGAACACATATACACACCCGGCAGATATTAACACCATACATCATAAAACGCATGAGTGCATGCCTCCACTGGACTTTATTCATTTATTTTTATCTGAGAGCAACATCCATGCTGTACGCAAATTCCATACTGAAGCGGAGGAAATGGTTTTGTAGGCCAGTGTAATCTGTCAATCTCTCTGGTACATAGGCTATTCCTACTCAATAAAAACACATACTACAGCTACACAAACTCATCTAAAACTGATGTGGCCTGGTTTTCTGCTCTGATGACCCTTGGACTAATGCCTGAGTAGCACAAATCTGTTTACTTTTGCGAGGGGGAAGGGAAAGAGACCACCATGCTAGTGTTAAGTTGACAGTGAGTCCACTTATATATATTATTTGTTTTATTAGTGTTATGAAAACATAGTAGATTGTTAAGTTTGTTAATGGATCAATGACAATTAAGTGTGTCAATGATAAAGGAGGAATAAAAAAAAAAAAAACATTTTATTAAACCAACTATTTATTATTCAGTGAAGCAGTTTTTTTTTTGTTTGTTTGAACATATATATGTATAAAATAATAATAATAAAATAGGATGGTTTACTTTTCAAGAACTTCATTCTTTTGTCTTCATTATGATATCAGGATAGTTGTATGAATGAACCTGACTTTTTTTTTTTTTTTACACTTTATGTCCCATAACAAAGGTGTATTCAAGTCACTTTATGGGTGAATTTTTAAAAGAATTTTCGCATAATTTAATAGACAAGTAAGCAACATTATGACTATACCACAGACCCCTGCAGTTGCATTGTAATTACTGTAATTCCTAGACAACAACTCATCAAAACCACAAGTAACAGTAACAATTATGTACATGCCTTATTAATAAAGTAAACTAAAGTTTATTTAGCAGGACATTAGACATTAGTTATCCAACTAGCTATACATGTATTCGAATAATCTTGCATTATTAAAACAAAAATATAATGAAATCATTATCCACTTCACTACATTTGAAGCCACAGCCATCTTGAGTGTTTCTGTATGATGTAGTGTCAGGTGGTTCAAGACAGAGCTTTCAGAAAATTCAGTACAAAGTGTAATTACAAATTCTACGAGAACAGAAAGACGGAATCTCACAATCATGATAATCACGAATGCACCTATAATAATGAACAATGATAGTATTAACACATTCATATGCAATGGTGCTTATGATAAGTTTTTTTTGTTTGTTTTTTAAACACGGTATTACTATAATCTAGTATGTCCAAAAACAGTATTAACATGGTACATGTTTTAAAAAAAACATTATAGCTGCATTTTCCCACATAAATGGCTAGTTAGCACTGCATTTGACCAAGAGAGTAACAGCATAAAGCCCAGTAAACTAAAGCAGCCTGTTTTCTGCTGCTGTTCATGGATCTGCAAGGTACGCAGTGACAGCAGTCAGTATGACCCACTTTTCCACAGAGTGCTTTCGCATTGCTCACAGCCACTGTGTCCTGATATCTTGACCCATTATGACAAGAGGATGCAACAATCATCAAGCACTACGTGCTCTATACTGTACATGACTGAGAGGTAGTAGACGCATTAAAAATGCAAAAGTCTAGTCGACAGAAACAGGAAAATTCCATACGATCTCAGCTGATCTGCCTATTCTAAACAGGCAGACTGAAAAGGTGGTGTTGAATCATAGCAGGTTAAATGAAAAAGAGTCTCTCCTCTCTCTCTCTCTCTCTCTATATATATATATAGATGGTTGGTAATAGCCCTCCATTCCACTTCAGCAGCCTCTGCTAATGCAACCGATGACACAATTACCATCTGTGCTCTCTGAGGTTTAGTGTGTGTGTGAGGGATGCTAGCGGGTGCACAACAAAAGCAGTTTCTGGAAAATCTGTGTTACATCTCGGCACCAGAGCGCAAGTTTACAAAGCAGAACCCACTGTATGTGTGTGTGTGTGTAATGGGCGTGGCTGCATTGTTGTACAACAGAAGTTGCTCTATTATTTATCAGCTGTGAATGACATGTCGATTCACAAGAAGCTGTTTTCCGCTTACAGTGCTGCAGCTGGAAACTAGCAGCCTGCTTTTTCCATTTAGGAAAGAGTTTATTTAAAAACTTTGAAAACAGTTGGAACAATCCACAGCATAAGCTCCCAGGCCTTGTTTGATGAAGGATGGATCCTGGTTACCGCGAGTTTGCTTTAGGTTTTATCACTACAGCCAGAGTTTGTAACTAGATGCAAAGTATAAAACACACACAAGAGAGAAAACATCAAAGAGATGTTGATCATGGAGAAAGGGGAAATTCTATATCGGTCTGGCATTTTTTTGGTTTGTTTTGTGGTTCATAGGTGTGAAGAACATGTTCTCACATTTTTATTTACAACAGGGGATAAATAATATATTATAATATAAAATTATATATAAAATACTCATCACTAATAGTCATAATCAAATTTAATATGAATGTTATACTACTAATAATCAAAATGCTTATTAAATTATATAATTTGTTTGTATTGACAAAATAAGTTATTTACTATATATACTGGCTTTATTACCTTGCTATTACAATTGTAGACTCTTAATAATAATTTAATTATGGTATTTAGCATGTAATACTGGGAAATGTACCACAGTGAATTATTTATTTTTGTTTTATTTTATACTTTTTACATTTTTTTTTCCATATTAGCTATATTGAAAATTATTATTATTATTACATTTTTATTTAACATGGACATCACAGTAGGAATAAATCACTGCAGAATTAAAGGAGTGCAGTGACATTTCTGACGATCATTATTTTACACAGGGACGTAGGGTAATTTCAGCATGTACAGGGGTCAGTCAGTAATTTGATTTCCGTCCGAAATTTAAATCTGTTGATTTTTTTTTTAATGGCTTGTTTAGTATGCATGACCCTTGATAGCCAGAAGGGGGCGATGTTTCGTTACTTTTAAAGAACGGTTTTGGGGGGCTGGGTTCAGTGTAATAGGAAAAGTTTATTATTATCATTATAAAAATTTTATTTAACATGGACATCACAGTTACATTGGACAAACCATATGCACTTGCTTAAGTGTTTTAGCACACATGCTAATTTTCAACACCAGTCCACGGGAGGCTTTTCAGAAAGCCAAAACATTTTTTATTAATAAAATAAAACCAATAACAATGCTAATAATAGTAAATAATAATAACAATGTTAACAATAAAAGTAATAATAACGATACTAATAAAGAAAAAGGGAAAAAGAAAAAATATACCATAAAATTGCAAAAAAAACAAAAACAAAAAAAAGAAGGAACAATACATTCAAAATTATTTACATACATAAGCTATAAAGCAAAGACAACATAATAAGACAATATCGCAATAATAATTTGGTATGAAGAACTATTCATGTGAGCACTGTTGTTTGGTTTTTAACCATTGTTTAAGTCCTCTGTTAAAAGCATTACCATTGGTCTCTAGTTTTAAATTAGTAGGTAAAGCATTCCAGAGTTTTGGCCCCTTTGCAGAGAAAGCAGATTGGCCAAAAGAGGTCTTATACTTTGGAACAAGACAGTCACCACTAATAGTGGCTCGTGTGTTTGCCCTATGAGAGTTCTGACGCCTACTGACCAATTCAGAAAACTGGTGAAACATGATTCTTTAGACATTTAAAAACCAATATGAGATAATTAAAATCAACGAAACTATCGAAGCTAAGAAGGTTATGCTTTCTTAAAACATCACAATGATGCCATCTCATGGGTTTCTGGTCCATAACTTTTATTGCCTGTTTGTATATTGAAATAATAGGCTTTAATTTATTTGGAGAGACTTGTGACCATGATGTGACACAATATGATAAATGTGAAAATATCATTGCATGCATGTATAATTTTGCAGTTTGACCTGACAAGTCCCTTCTAATAACACGAAAACAATTTAGGTTTGGTTTGACCTTCTTACAGATGTACTCAATGTGACTATCAAATTTTAAATTCTTATCTAGAATAATCCCAAGATACTTGATTTCATTCACTGCTTCAATTACTTCATTTTTAATCCGCACCTCAAATACATCCCTTGCAGGCCTATTTCGTATGGAGCTTTAGACATTTAAAAAACAATTTGAGATAATTAAAATCAACGAAACTATCGAAGCTAAGAAGGTTATGCTTTCTTAAAACATCACAATGATGCCATCTCATGGGTTTCTGGTCCATAACTTTTATTGCCTGTTTGTATATTGAAATAATAGGCTTTAATTTATTTGGAGAGACTTGTGACCATGATGTGACACAATATGATAAATTTGAAAATATCATTGCATGCATGTATAATTTTGCAGTTTGACATGACAAGTCCCTTCACATCACACGAAAACAATTTAGGTTTGGTTTGACCTTCTTACAGATGTACTCAATGTGACTATCAAATTTTAAATTCTTATCTAGAATAATCCCAAGATACTTGATTTCATTCACTGCTTCAATTACTTCATTTTTAATCCGCACCTCAAATACATCCCTTGCAGGCCTATTTCGTATGGAGAAGCACATGGAAACTGTTTTTTTTTTAACATTAAGAGTTAAATGAGACAACTCGAGCCATTTAGAGATGTTATGTAATGCCTGTGTCAAATGGGAAACAACTTCTGATGAAGTCATAATGAAAGCAGATCCTTACTACAGACACTTACTGTAAGTGAGATCCCTTATAAGGAACTGGAAAATTTGTTTCATAATTGCTTATTGTAAAGTTTTGTTTCAGAACAAATCGTGTTTTTTCCAGACCATTTATCAACATGTCACAGAGGCATTCCGAAGATTAATTATTAACAGAAACCACAAATGAACCATGCAGGCTACAAATCAGCATAGGTTTGCAAACTCTTGGGCTATTATGAGAACACAGCACAGAATGAGGACACAACACAATTCACACAAACGCAGAATAATAAGCTAAATATAATGAAACAATCGACAGAGCATTGAAAGAAGAAAAACAGAAAATAATTGTGCATAGCTTGGCCTCCCGCCAGCCCTTGCTGCACAACCCATCTAGACAAACTCATTACCGTGAGAGATAAGACAGAGCGAGACTGACACTGCCTCAGCTCTTCCGCCGGGACAGACCCTGAAACCACACTTTAGCACTTTTGTATCATCCTACAGCCCTAGACCACGGCTCTGTCTGTCTCTATCTCACACACACACACACACACACATTGTGAGAATATGTGAAATAAAATCAATAAATGGAAAAAACAACAACAAAAGGCTCTCTGTTTCTATCTCACACACACACACACACACACACACACACACACACACACACACACAGACACACACACCAGTCACATGGACCAGTTGGTGTACAGGTGGGCTACTGGATCTCTAGCCATTACATAACCATTTGAGTCACATCTGAAGCTCCACTGAGGCTTATTGTTCTTAGCAAAGCCTGCAGGTGTCCTGCTGTCTTGTTTTCCGTCTGCATCTTTATCATATTACACAAAGTAGCTTCAGAACGTTGTTGATTTCAGTTAACAGAATTGTCATTATTTACTCATCCTCAAGTTCCAAACCTATTTGATTTTCTTTCTTTTGTGGGACAAAGAAAAGAGGAAATGTCTCAAAAGTATTTTAAAAGTTGCCTAGTTCAAATGGCTTGTAAGCTATATTTATTTCTTGTCTTCTGAAAACATATGACAGGTTTGTGTAAGAACCACACTTAACTCTGATAATCTCAAGAATCTAAAAAAAAAAAAAAAAGGATTCACAAATGGCACATCACTACATTAAAAATAGTCATCAGCACATTCTTCAAAATATCTCCTTTTCTGTCCCACAGAAGATGGAAACTCATACAGGTTTAGAACAGTGTTATGATTAATAATGAAGTGTAAAACTATTAAAAAAACAAACATATTTGTTAGTTGAAAAAGCTGAAATTATATAAAATATAATTATTAGATGAAAAGCTCACTCTTAAAAAGATGAAAATTGAAAAATGTTGGAAACTAACTGAAATAAATATATTTAAGTTGAAACACTAAAATTACTAAACTAAAATACAAAATTAAAGCTAATTAAAAACAAAAACACTACAATTACTTAAACTATGTAAAAAGGCTAATTTAAAATATTAACAAATACTATAATAGTATGTAAATAATACTACAATAACACTGGTTTTAGACTGATTAGATTGTAAATAGTGTAATTATGACAGATTTTTGTGGTGTAGGGGTAAACTAATCCATACACAGAAGATTTAGTTAGACAGAACTGTCAGTATTCTGTCAAGTTTTGAGCACACGTATGCAGTTTAACCTCTCCATTGTGACGGGGAGGGCAGGAAGTACTGGCAGACGGTCTAACTAACCCATTAGATGAGTTGTGATACTTAAAGAAATCTCTTTAATCTGTGAGTCTGTGTGAATATCTGTGCAGAGCAGGTGGTTGAGTTGATCCATGTCCCATTCTTGCTAAGAACCAGGCTGTCTGTTCTCCAGCTAACCTCATCCTTTATCGTATCCTCACAGAAGTCAAAATCTCATATCACGTCTCAAAACATGACTAACACCAGTATGCCACATTCACACTCACCTACTATTGTAAATGAGGCTGGTACAAAAGAAAAACAGCCACGGCTTCCTGTGAAACCAAACTTCATGATTTTATCAGTTCTTAACAGTCACATGCTGGTTTACGGTAAATTGGATAGCCCAGAAAAAAAACAAGACAAGACTGGAATTAACCGTATGCTTGCTGACACAAAAGAAGAAATGAAACCAAAGTCATTCTGTGCATTCCTTGCTTACTCTAGAAGCGTTGCCAAAATGTCTAAAACATACACAGTTACAACGAATTCATGAAATACTGTAAATTTCATGATGAACCAGGACACTCTATATTTAGAAAGGTGTTATTGAGGAAGCAACACCACAAAGGCAGACCAGGCCTCAGCCAGAGTCAACAAAGCAGTCCAGGAAGGACAAGAATCTCAATTCATAAAAACGGACGTGTTATGTGCACATGTAAGAGGTGACTAGATGTCCACATGTCTAAATTGAAAGCTGCCGAGGGAATTAAAAATAATAAATTAATGTCATTTAAATATTAGCTGGTTTGTGCCCTGCCTAGTTCAAGCTTAACCTCTGAAACATATAAGATATACTAAATGTTGTCCCTAAATCGTTTCATTTAAATAAAAGCTTAACTACTAAAACATAACTAAATTAGCAATGTATAAAATAGCTCATTTACATGACAGATAGATAGATAGAAGCGTAACTGCTGAAACTCATGGACATAAATATTATACGTGTACACACACACATAACGTTATACATACACATACATACACTAAACTGTGTCTTGCCTAGTGTAGCGTAGTAGTAGCGTGACTACTGAAACATAACTAAATCAGCAGTGTGTACAAAATATCTAGTTTATTTGCTGCCCTTATTAAAGAACGTTACTGCGCTTAAAGAACGGTCTACAGTAAAACAAACCAATGTTGATTAGGTCCAGGTGGCCTGCCACCTAACTGGGATGTTTACTAATATCAGAACACTTTGACAACCCTATTGTATTTTAAAACCACAGACCCTTATAAGACTAAAGCGTAACCATGACGACAGGTCTGTTGGGCACTTACCGTACAGATGGATCAGATAGTAGCGTTACTGAGAGCAAGTGAAGCAGAATAGGGCGGAACGCAGTGAGCTTCGGTGCTATTATACACCAGGTACATTCAACCAGCTGTCCTGTAAATCTGACAAATCTCACCCTAGAGGCATCCGCTACTACATTCCCCGAGAATCAGTCCAAGGGGAAGATGTCAGCCCTTTTCCCCCTGCCCTGTACGCGATATTGCTCAGATTATGTCCGCAGCTTGATTCTCTTTTCCATCACGTCACCGAGGAAAGCCCCTGCGTGTGACGCCACTCGTTTCCGAGACGCAAACCCCGCCCACTGACGTCACCTCGAAACGGCAATGAACGCGCGTCTCATTGTCATTGCCAGGAACAGAGTTTTGATTGTTTAATAACACACGTCCTTCGAATGCATATTCAAAACATTTTTGTATTAGTATAACTACGGTTCAGTGACAAACACGGGAAATAATTTAAATAAGGTCATGTAAAACAGTGGTTCTCAACCAGGGGACTGGGGGCCAATATTATTATAACCACAGAAACGTATTAACTTATTAGACAGAGGAAGGGCTTTAAATATTTTCTTGGACAAAGGGGAGCGTAGGAGTCAAAAAGGTGTAGAACTACTGATTTATATATATAAAAATGTATTTTATTGAAATAGTTTTAATTCTAGTGTTCCCACACTTTAGACCAAAAGATTTTCTGACATTTTCTATTACCAGTTGTCTGTGATTATATTCTAAACACTTTTAAAAACGTTTATGGTTTTTGATTGAGAACTTTTCAATTAAAATTATTCAAATGAACAATTCAACACACACACACACACACACACACACACACACACACACACACACACACACACACACAGCTAAAAAGCAGTATCTAGCCATATTGATTAAACATTTTTAAATCAGAGCTTAACTAGAAAACAAATGTTTATCGGAATTTCCTTGACTTTTCTAGATTTGGACAAAAACAATTTCAAAATTCCCTGATATGTCTAGGTTGTCTATGACCAGGGGAACCCTGTAATGCACGTCATACACTGGTCGTCTGATGAAATAAGTCGCTGCTTCCCTTTTTCCCCCCAATTTTCATTGTACTTCTGTGTCACAAACTTGTGAAACTGTCTTCAAAGTAACACCAAACTGAGAAGTGGATGTAAAATCTGGGCACTGGGACGGTAATACAGAAACACAAAGAATCAACCTCTTCATGTAAGGTAGTAGAAAATAGTCTCCCATGTTTATTGGAGGTAATCAACTGGGTTTCAGTTAAATCTGTGTTCATTACAAAACACATTCACTACATGGAATGATCAAAATAAACATCTGAGTCACTTCCAGCTCCCCCCTTTCCCCTCATCCATTGTTTTCACATCTGGATCAACCTGGATGGGAGAAACTGGATTTCATACAGCTGCAGAAAAAAAAAAGTCCACAAGTAAATTAATGACTCAACTCAGAACATGAATTAATAAATATTAGCTAATAAAGCAATTAATAAAGTAGCTTCTTCCATTCAGCAATTAAACCAAGCAGTCACATGACCTCTACTGGATATCATGCATTACTACAAGATCTACCAGATCGTCTTAAGAATGATCACATTTCACTGTGTAAATAGTGCAAATGACAAAACCATACCTTTTTACAGGTGTCCGGTTAGAGTTCAAAAACATGCCTTCATTATATTGATGCTTATACCCAAATCAGTTGGTAATTAAAACTTGTATATTATCTTAATAAGACATTACAATTAGCTTGGGTTCTACATTCAGCGTTTAATATTTCATAGGCTTTTTTGTCAAAAGAGCTCCGTTTCCCATTGTACAATAGGCAGCAGATGAATCAAAACCATGTCTAAAGACAAACTCACAAAGACAAGTACAAAACATAAAAGGAATCAAATAGGGTTTATAATGCATACAAGGAAAGAATGGACGTAGAGATGATTCAGACAAAATAAACAAGATCTTTACAGGTAGCAGCAGAGAAGGCAGTAAGGATGGAGGCAAAGACGAGGTCGGGGGACTGAGAAGCATCAACAGCAGTGTGCAGGCCGCGGGCACTGTAGTACTGCACTAGAGGGGCCGTCTGCTTGTGATAAGACTCTAGTCGGGAGCGCAGGGTGGTCTCGTTGTCATCACTACGGCGAATAAGAGGCTCCCCGGTTACCTGTGGACATATGGATCAGACCAAACCTCTATAGCTGTCCTGTTAATTAGAATAAGACAGTTTTTGTTTCTCACATCATCCTTCATTGGTTCTTTGGGAGGGTTGAACTCTTCATGGTAAGACCGGCCGCTGGGCTGATGAATGAGTCTGAGGAATGAAATGGATTATGTTCAGTGGTGGAAAGTTACTGTACTTGAGTCCATTTTTCAAGCATCTGTGCTTTATCGGAGTATTTTTATTGTGAGAAATTTTTACTTTACTACATTTCAAAGTATAAAATCATACTTTTTACTCCACTACATTTCAACTAACTATCACAAACTGAAGAAAATGCTACCCGCTCTGAGAGGCAATAGTGATGGCAATAGCAATAGTGAGACGCTCTGAGATGGCAATAGTGATGTCGGATTTGTCGGATCAAAAGCTAATAACACCCATGCATTTGTGAATGGGCTAATTCTTTCCTGTTGAATTGGTTCACTGATCCGAATGCAGCTGTTCTCGAATCAACAACTCACTGATTCAATAATGAGTCAAGAACCGGGAGCTTAAATGTGTGCTCAACTGACGACTTAAAGTGTGAGTTTTTAGTATCGATTAGCCTATTGAAAATTAAACTCCTACTGCCATCACAAGAGTTCGTTATTTGGAAACTAATATGGCAAGTTGTTTAAGCTTATTAAAATGCTTGAATGTGGACATATCTGCATTTCTGTGTCACCGTCTGTACAGGATAGGCTTTTTAAGGCAAAATAATGCTAATAACACCCATGCATCCTCCCCCTGCTGTAGTAGTTTCAAATGGTATGAAACTAGTATGTTCGCATAGCATTCCTCTTAAAATGTGAACACATCTTCCCCCATGGGATGTCTGAACATTGCATTTTCCAACGATTTATTAAGTTTCATATTTCCACATTTTTTAAATATTATATGGTGTCCTTTTACATGTTTGCATACTTGAATTCTCATCATCTTAAATGGATATTTTAGTATATTCAAATGTAATGCTTTTATACAGTATAATACGTTTTGGTAAGAAAAAAAAGTTTGCTCATTTGCAGATAAATAAATATTAAATGTCTGCACAAATCTTTATTATTATTATTATTATTATAAATCTGTCTAGTACAGGCTAGAATAAATAAACATGGTTCACTAAAAAAAAAAAATCATCAAGTAATTTTGTACTTTTACTCAAGTAAAACTGAAAATGAGGACAAATTCTTCTATAGAAGTAATATATTATTAGGGTGTCTATAGTTTTACTCAAGTAATTGATTTATGTATTAATTACTTGTGTATCAAGTATTTGTCCATTACTGATTTTTACATTTAAACAAAAGAGTCATTTTCATGCTTTACAATTCTTACTAAATGGAGGAAGTAAGGAGGTACACTTCCTTTTTAAAATACAATCCAAACCACAAAAGGAAAATTTTCCTGCCACCTCCTCCATTAAAGACAACAGAAACAAAAGTGTTTGACAGCTATTATGTCCTACCTAGAAAACATGTCTTCTCTTGTTCCTGAAATGAGTGACATCTTTTCAGTACATTCCGCATTCATTCAATTAAACCGAGCACTTAGAACACATTAGCGGTGGTGGGATACAATACTAAGCTCCAAATGACAGGACCCTCCATCTTCATACCTCCCACAGATTCTGCGCACTAGCAGAGAGTCATCAACTGAGAATTCAACCACAGAGTCCAGTTTCCCACTACGCTTCTCCAAGAGGCCATCCAGCTAGAAATAAGAAAGAGAGGCACAGGTTGACTGATGCATTCTTGGGCTCCCATTTTAAATTCAGTACTTCAGAGAGTTCTGCGCCCACTTATAATGTCAGTTGTTTACAGATTGAAAAGGTCCTCACCATTTCTGCCTGTTTGACAGTGCGGGGGAAACCATCCAGCAGGAATCCATTCTTGCATGCAGGCGTGCCCAGGTTGTTGTCTATGAGCTCCACCACCATCTCATCACTCACCTTAAGGAAAGATGACAAAACAAAGACTCAGGATTTTATCCCTCCAACCGAAAATGCACATTGGAGAGGAACAAATTTTAAAATATATAAAAAGTAGAACATCTATTAATTTTACCAGTTTGCCGGCATCCATGGTTTCCTTAAGCCGCTGACCGAGCTCGGAGCCAGATGCCACCATGGCCCTCAGCATGTCCCCAGTAGCTAAATGACACACACAGTACTTCTCTGCAAGCTTGGGTGCCTGTGGAGGCCGAAATGAAACATTTATGGAATTAACTCAGAAACAATCAAAAATAATTATCAGATACATTACATAAAATAACATTTAGAATATAAGGAAAGCCAAACACTTGTTCATCTAACAACCGTTCATGGGAACAATTAATCCATAATCTTAATATTTATAAGTAACATTTGTCTTGAAATAAATAATTGAATAAAAAAACAACAACCATTAAATTGAGATCTGTAATATTTAAAAATAAATAAATAAATTCATAGCTTTTTCAGCAAGTATGCAATAACATTGATCAAATGTGGCAGGAAAGACTGTTACACTGCTACAAAAAGGTCTATTTAAAACAAACAAAAAAAGCACTGCATTTCTATTCATAAAATAATTTTGAAAAAAAAAAACATTTATCACATTAAAATATTAGAGCTGTTTTCAACATTAATAATAAGAAATGTTTCTTGAAAAGCAAATCAGCATATTAGAATGATTTCTGAAGGATTGTGTGACACTGAAGACTGGAGTAATGCTGCTGAAAATTCAGCTTTTCCATCAAAGGAATAAATTACATTTTAAAATATATTAAAATAGAAAATGGTTCTTCAGAATTGTAATAATATTTCAAAATAGTACTTTATTTACTGTATTTTTGATACAGTATACTGTATCCTAGTGTCTGTATGAACAAAACCATAAAACTCAATCACTCTTCTGTCGTAACCACATTCATAAGCCAAGTTTGAACTGTTTTACAGACATTCAAAATGTGCAGCAAACATTGCTTAATATCAGCAAGCAGTATTGCAAAGTATTGCTGATATGCCTGTTCTTCATGGTCTGTTGAGTTACACTATCACCCAACAGTACAGAAAGGTCTACAATTTTCCCAGTGGTCACCTATTCAGGCGTGTTAATTGTCATGTTAATCAGCTCAAATTATCTGAGTGCCATGGATATTAAATAATAATTCCACAATTGCACTGAATGAATATTCTAATCAGAAAGCATCATCTGATAATGCCCAGGGCAACAGGACACAGGTGTTAAAGAGACAATTACACTCACAGTTTAAATAGTAGGCCTATAACATTTGGTTTAGTGCAGTTAAATGAATAGTCAAACACAAAACGTATATCATGAAAGTGAATGGTGTCCGAGGCTGTCATTTAGCATTTAGCATTCCAGCATATTGTTTACATCATTTCACTGAAAAAAATTAATCCATATAGGTCTGTAATACCATGAGGCTAGGTTGTTGTTTTAGGGTGAACTATCCCTTTACAACACAGTACTCTCAATCCCGCTACTGTTGGACAGTTTAATCAGAATGAGCTCTCACCTGCGTCCCCTTCCCCGCACCGGGCGGGCCGAGCAGAATGGCTCGAATACCTTTCCTTACACCGGAGACTGTATCATCCGCTTGCGTGCTGGGGGCCATGGTTACAAGCTGTAAACGAACTAAGGACACTTCTCTCACTACACACTTTGCGTCCGCAAACTCACTCGGAAAGGAAGTGGTAACGCCTCCGTTTGCTGAGTATGGACTCAAAGCCCCGCCTTCTAGCACAAAGCCATCCATCTGATTGGCCAATGGCACGCCGTTTATCCACAGCGCGAGCTCATTGGATAAAATCGAACGCCTCAGTATCGTCTAATATCCGGAATTTGGCCTGAAATGACACATCGCACATCAAAGAGATGTGAAAGTTTAGATAAGGAAAAATAAGATATCCATGCGTATCTGAAATGACATATTAATATTAACATCAGACTGTACAAAGGTTGTTATTCCGCTTTTGTAATTACGACTTTATATTAAGCACAGATCCTAATTTAAAAGCACCGTAGTGGTCACCCTAAAATGAACTGAACGAACTTTTCTTTTATCAGACGGTCGTTCAGTTGCATTTATGTACTTTTCTTCAAATAGTTTAATAGTATTTTTCATTTTATTATTGGTATCTTGCTTTTGTCATTTATTTTTATAATTCTCTTTAGCTTTATTCATTTAAATACTTTAGTTTAAACTTTAATTTCAGTTAGCTGACTGGACATTAGTGTTGTAGTCCAGACCAAGAGCAAAGGGTGTTGAGAGACCAAGACTAGACTAATGCAGGGCCAATCCATCACTTCTCAAATTCCTCCACATTTACTGCCTGATAAATGTGTTATATTTAATAAATAAAATTACAATAATAGGACCGATCAAATGAAATCATGAAGAACAAAATTCATCTTTGCACTACAGAGGCATAAGTTGCATCTGAACTGGTAAAATTACAACTGCATAAATATTTTTGAGATTGGTCTTCAAATAAAAGTTTTACATAAATATTTGATGGCCGCCAGTAGGCTAGGTGATTAATCACATAATGAGTGAGTCACAGATTTTCATTCAACCAATTCATTCAAAGCAGACGATTCATTCTGCAATGAAACCGCGTTGAGTTGATCAGAAACGCACAGCAGATCTGCCATGGATTTGTTTAGAACTATTTTCGTAGACGAAACACAAAAACCAGTTTAAAAATGATCCTAAAATGTAATTAACGTTACTTGTTGTTTGTTCTTGACAGGTTTTGAAATAAAATCCCGAGTCCTCCAAGTCTGAGACCAAGACCTTCAAAAATGGGAAAGTACTACAACACTACTAGGCATTTCTAATATAAAATGAAGTTCTTCATCTAATTGCGATTGTTGATTTTGATTGCTTCTGTTGTCCTCATTTGTAAGTCGCATTGGATAAAAGTGTCTGCTAAATAATTAAACGTAATTGCTGATCTTTATTTTTACATTATCATACAGTAATAATTTAGTAATACTAAACATTTCTAGTCTAACTAAACATTGGTAAGATACGAGGCAGTTAAACAAACAACACAGTAAGAAACTGGTGACAAGTATGTTGTCAAAATCTTGTTTTATTTAAACTGCAGCTCTGCGTGATACATGGAAGCCACATTTGGAGTGTTTTAAGATACAATAACACACAAAACAGCCATAACACTAAAGTTCCTTAAGATTACTACAGTGATAGGGGCTAAACTTTGGTATTGTGTATGACAAGGTTAAGAAATTTGTCTAGTCAAGGCAATATGACATTTAGTGTGAATTAAAAAAGCTTTTGTAAATGTCACTTATTCAAACACATTTGGATATAGATAAATGAATCTAAAGTTAGTTAGGACCATTAAAAAGTTATAAAATGTTCATATAAAAGTTACATAAAGCAAACTCACAAGAATATATATATGGTGTAGAGAGCTTAGAAAATAGGGGATGTGCATGATAAATATTTTAACTCACAGTTATTGTGAAGTCATCTGGGTCAAGTAAAGAAAAAAAAAAATCCTTTTCAATGAAAAAGGGAAATTTCTATGGGGAATATTAATAACATTTGTATTCTTTTGAAGGCACATATCCCTCATCATAAAGAGCTTTGGTGACAGGGAAGGATCTAATTGCGTTTTAAATTGTCCGCAGCTTTTTAACCACAGATAGGACCAACACTGCCCATAAATGTCAAAAAGGAGAAAAAAAAAACATTCCCTTTCATTGTACTTCAAGAAACTGATATATAAATATAAATTTCTACATTTTCATAACTCTAATCCAAACAAACCCCAAAAAATCTTATTCAAATACATTTCTGATTCCTCTGACAGATGAGCAAAAAATGTAAGTCATCCCTATAACAGCAAATATACAAACATGGGTTTTGGCAGTACTTAATATGAAAATGAAATTTGTCACCACAAAGTGCTGACATTAAATCTGTGGTTCATTTAAAGATTCAGACACTGCCTCCTGTCTTGCTCAACAAATATTCTGAGAAATCTGACTACAGCAGGTATCTCAGCAGGCAGCAGTCATGCATAAGACATTTAAATATACATAAACAAATTGACAGTCTAACAAAGCAAACAAACTTTCATTAGTCTTTAAGCAATCCTTGCTAAATTACACAGACAAAAGTATCAAAAACATACCTGAATACCCTTGTAAGGCAAAGCATTTTGTCCTTTAATTGAAATGTCTCTTAATTTATGGCTTTTAACTTTTCTCAAATTTATAATTACTAACTTGTAAAATGTATCTGTAAACACTGTGTAACCGTGATGCCATATTGCACTTCCAAATCAGACCTATACGCAGTCAATGTGAAAGTCAGACTAGGATACTTTTGGCCCTTGGTGCCCGATGAGAGCAGGCTTACATAGGTTTGTAGCATGAATCTGGCTGCCATGTGCGCAGGTCTATCAAGACCTGGTTGAGCTTCTGCATCCACAGATTCCTCTCATCCTTAGTGTCAGCACTCAGCCAGTTCCTGCACATTACAAAGGGATGTTCTGATTTAGGACTTGCTCTTCTCCATCAAAGCACATGAATTCACATTTTTAATTGGGTCTTACTTTGTAACACACAGTGTGTCCTTGCACTGGCTGACCAGGGTCTCTCTGTCATCCTCCCTTTGTGGTCTCACAGTGATGAGCTCAAAGGTATTGGGCCGGGCACAGAACTCTCTGTTTGCCGGCTCCACTTTACGACTGGTACAGTTGGCAAGGTTAATGCGACCAATTGGATTCTGTGGAAAGAAGAAGAATAACCTGTTAACATGAATTAAATGCATCTCAAAAATTAACAAAATTATAGTAGGCCTACCTTTCGTTTTTCATCATCAGGGTAGGTCCAAAAAGAGATGCAGTATCCTGAAAGGACACACCACCTCCTGTGCCAGGCTCCAAATCCACTGACATCCTCAAACATAGTCTGCAAATAAAAGACACCCTCACTGGCATCACATAAAGCCAAGTATAACAAGAAAGTGTTTAATAATGACTTTGTTACTAATACCATTCTTTCAGTATAAAGACTCACCAGGAAGCTTCTTTCCTCTATCCGTGAGCCAACCTCGCACTGCATTTTCAGGTAAACGTGCCCCTCCAAAGGACAAAGGAAAGGTACCTGTAGCAAAACAGGACACTAAGGGCCAGAACACAAACATATCCAACAGAAGCGTCGTTTGCAGCAAAAGCGAGCCATAAATATAGTAGCCACACATTTGCCTGAAGGTGTAACGAAAACAACTGGTATTCACCCAAATACAAAGGTTGTAAATAAGCAGCTTAAAGTGACAGTTAGTATCACCGAAAAGACACCAAGCCTTGTTAGCCAAAAACTCAGACACACAACAACCCGTGTTACCAAACACAGAGCAAATATAGCAACCTTTTTGTGAAACATGTCACTGAGCAGCTCTCTTTCAACCCCTTCATATCTGATCTAAAAGAGAGAAATGACTGCATGTGAAAGAGTCTGGCATATGCAAACGGCAGCACTATGCAAGAAAAACAAGAGAGTAGTGTTAAAACTGTATTAAGCTGGTGTGAACACTAGTGCTGTGGTTAAACCTCTCCCTCTGACATTAGCAAGCAACAGAGGGTATGCATTGACATCCCTTTTGTGACGGAACACCCACTGAGTCCGACTGAGTGGCAAAATGCAATGCAACTTGGCTGGCACTAGCAGTTGGACTCAACAGTGATCCTTACATGTTACCAAAGAAAAATGTGGACACTGACATG